AATTAAACTGGCTTTTTCAAGTAAATTTTTCTGTAAATATTACTTATTTGGAAAAAAAATAATATTGGCAAACTATAACAACCGGACGACACAGAAAATATAAGACGTAAATAGACTGATAAAACGTGGATTGATCTGCTAACAGGAGTGACTATGTGTCAGTTGCTAAATTAAAATATTTAAAGAAGCTATTTCTTGGATAGTATTAATACACTAACTTACTAATTGATGTAACATCTGATGCTGGACGGTCAGGGAGATGGGTAGTTATTATCGAGCCAGAAAAAACAGTTAAACCAATAAGACAAGAATTTCCGTAATCAAAATCACAGTGGAAATTAGCCTGAGTGTGATGAATACAAAAATAAAGTGCGACTAAAAAAGGAACAAGTAGACTGGTACTGGCATAATGACCAATTATTTTGCAAAATTCTTACTTGCCAATAGTTCAAAGTACATGACGCTGTACATAAAAAATTTTATATTAGACAGTACCGAAGAACAGAAGAACAGCTTAAATTATTTCTAAAGTGATTATATATTTCAGATAAAAACCATATTGAGTACTCTTAGAGAAATAATAATAACGCTATGATGTTTGATGATTATTGACTGTGAATAAAATAAATATTATTAAAATATTGACTTTTCAAATTAAGCTTTTGTTAATCAAAATTGTTATTCGACATTGTCTTTCGAAGTAAGCACTATTTTGTGATAATCTTGCATTTCATAGAAATAGAGTAAATTGTGGATTTAAGACAAAATAAAAACATTTTTTTCTATAGGAAATGACTTGTATTTGTTTCTCTATAGGCAATGACTGTCGTATATTATTCGTCACAACATCTACACTTTTTTGTTATTAAAATCATACAGTTGACAAGAGCAACGAGTGAAAACAAAGTGAATTTGCCTGATACCAAAAAAATATATGTATCTGTAGAATTTATCAAAACGGAACAAAAGTGTGACTTCATATCTTTATGCTGAGTAATTAATAACTGACAATGGGATATTTTGTAAATACAAAGAAGTAACATTAAAATTAAAGACGTATGTGTATAATAAAATATCAGAATCGAATCATTCACGTATCTTTTGGCAGAGCACAACAGTGGCATCGATTTACTCTGTCTTATATCCTAGTAAAAGTCATGTGAAACTCCCAGGAGAAAAACGTTGAATGCAGATTTTGATAAATCTTTAAAGATTTCTCAACTTTCGCCCCAGATCTTTCAAGAACTTCTGCAGATTTATCGAAATCTGTCAAGATTCTGAATGGAAGTGGATGCTGCAGATTTTCCACAAGTTTTGTATCAGAATCTGTCGTAATAAAAATATTGAGCAGATCTTGTCAAGATATTTCAAGAATCCTGAAATGCTTAATTTAATACGCAATAATCATAATCTTCATTAACAGATTTGGGAAGTTGAAAGAAAATCTTAAACTTTATTTTCTACTCTATATTTTCATTTTTTTCTACTGAATCACTACAGTGCAAGCTGTACGATACTAAGCATACAGCACCAAAGCTGTTGAAAGTGCACGATTAACTATACATTCAAATACAATGTTTGAATTTCACTTTCAAAATTTTCAATGTTCTGTAGTGCAAGGATTTATTCTTATATATGCAAGAATAATGTCAAACAAAATGGTGATTGAAAAAATAACACATTTATTTGTCTACCCAATCGACCCACAGAATTCTAGCAGAAGTCCTCTACACTGTCAGTAAGGGGACACCTCCTATATCCTGATTAGGATATATATCCCGATCAGGATATAGAAAAAAAGTAGTATCCCGATCGGGATATAAAACACAATTTCGTCGGAAAAACGATAAAGGAGAAAATGACGAGATTTTAGGGTAAAAGTGACGTCACCATTCGAAAGAGCTCGAAAAACTACATCGGATTCTGTTGTATTTGATCAAAAGTATATCAAGCGCCCAGTAACTATTTTTTCGAATACAAATTTTAGTCGAATTTATATCCCGATCAGGAAATAGGCTGTTAATCTTTTATTGCTCATAATGGGATATACTCTTGATCTAATCGCTTTCCATATCGAATTTTGTAACGATTAGACCCGTATGGTGTTTTTGCATTGATGTTTTGGGAGGCATAATTGAATCAAGTGAATTATTGATAGTTATAGGAAGTCGAAGAAGAAAAGAACGTTACAAATGTATGGTAGATGAAACTGTGCGTAGTAACGACTTTGTCTTCTATCTTCTATTATATTTTATATTACACTCACATATGAAAGTTGTCTAATAGAAGAAATGTATTTACGTCTGTTAAAAAGATATATGTATCTCTTCGATCAGCTGGAGAAAACAAAAGACACTACTAGGAACATTAGAGACGGGGAATAAAGAAGGAGAAGAATATTCAGCTCTCATATAAATTAAAATTTATCATTTTCTAACAAATTAAAAATTAAAATTCTTGATATCCTGATCGGGATATAATTTCAAACTATATCCCGTTCGGGTATAGAAAAATTTTTGCTGCAAAAAATGATTGGGAGTACATCCCGATCGGGATATGTCTCCACAGTGACTGTAGTGCTACAATAACTATAAATAAACGTAAAATTGGCATATTTACATTTTGTCGAATCTCTGAGTCATATTGTAATCAAAATGATTGCTAACTTTCTCTGTTAGCAAAGATTTTGTTAATTACAGAAAAGTTTTCAAATTTTGTCAAGATCTTGATTAAGATTTTTGCAGGCAGATTCCTCAAAAAACCTTGACAAGATCTTGACAAGAACTGTTGAACATTCTTCGAGACCAAGAAACTTGACAGAACTTGTGCAGATATAAACTTTCTGCAGGACATGGGACTGCATGCTATTCGTTAGAAACAAACATAATATTTTATTATAGAAAGAATATTATAAAAATAGTTGAATTTTGTTCTATTATTGATGTTCAACACATGTGATATATTTGACAAAGATGTCACATGTGTTCAACATCATGTGTCTTACTTGTGAACATTCTTCGCATGTTGAATGATCACATGAGAAAGCAATTTCTTTTGCATATTCAGTGAAAGTTAATCTTCTAATTTCTTCAGTTTTTGATTATTCATCAATTGTGCTGCTGCACAGTGTGCACTTTTCACATGGCAGGCGAGCATGCGAAAACAGATTTATTTTGCGCTGAAGTGATTTTATATCACGCAGAAAATCATTTTTAAGAAAAAAAACATTTTTTTCGAAAAAAAAATTTTCGACCAAAAAATACGTGAGGGGGACACCCTTGCCCAGATGTTTTTGAAAATTTTTTTATTAAAAACTGTTTCGTGTTATATACCATTAGACTCGGTTTTATGCGCTGATTCCAAATATGTCATTTATATTGAATAAAATCCTTTAGGGATCGAAAATAATGAATCAAGGGTTTTCTGGAAAATCAATAACTCGGGACAGGAAACTTTTCGCAAGTTTTCGCTACCTGTGTAGACGTGTCATATATAGGACGACATTCTCTAAAAGTTTCATCAAAATTGAAGTTAAGCTAAAGTTGGTGCCCGTATTTTATCAAACACGTCGCTTTGGAGAATTCGACAGAAAAATGTTTTATTTGGTTTGTCCGGCTTGGAAGGCCCAAAAATTCAAACGTTTTTTCCAGTCGATAGCGGACTGGATGCAGATTCTGAATATGTGTTTGTTTGTCTTATGGCTTACCTTGATTTTGCGCGCAATCCGATTTACCGGCGGCACCATCACTTAACATGGTTTTCAGTGCAATTTTTGTTCCCAGCTTAAATTAGTCGCAGGAAATTTTTTTTTACCATCGAATAGAGCATAGTTCAGAGTATATTAATCACTATTTGAATCACTGAAAAATCAACTTTCATTTTTCCACTAAAAGTTCACCTGGATGCATACTGTGTGCTGTTAGTATAGATTACACTGACCACTAATACAACTGAACGGCTAACTAAATCAAAATGATCTTTAATACTGGTATGATGAAGACCAAAGAAGTCTTTTTTTCCAATGTTCATAACGGAAAATTTTAAGTACTTTTATTTAAAAAAAGATCTATCTTGAGATATTACGTCTCGTCACGTAATATCTCAAGTAATAGTAATAGTAAGTAGTAATATCTCATTACCTATAATCTATGAGTTTTGATGGCTACCAATAGTCATCCGATGCCAGTTCTGGGGCTTGTACGAAATCTGATCGAACATCCGAACTGCGGAAAATCAAGATCGCCCTTGTCTTCCATTTTGAAGAGAAGACCTCAGGCTATCAGTCAATGAAAAAAAATTAATACAATACTGTTGGAAAGCTTTTATGCACAACCTGGTTTTTCAAAGATCTTCTAAAAAAACCTGTTTCAAACTCTTCAGAAAATTATTTTTCTTGCGAAAACACGTCCCCAAATCTGTTCTTTCGCATGGCGAAAACTGGAGAGAGCTAGCTCTGTTCATTTGCGTATTATTCGAAAAATGATTATCCCTATTATTTTATTTTATAGACAGTAGATCCGAATAAGTTAATTTCAGGCAATCAAACAAATGAGTCTGATGGATGAAAATAGTGGAAATCTGTATTAATTTCAACATTTTAAATAAAGAAGTCAATTTTTTTAATCTTCATTTAGACTGCTGTAACAGCTACATCTGCCTCCAATTTCTACAGCTACAAACTCCCTCATCATTAATTTCTCTAACTAACATTTTGTTGGTCCTGTTGTTAATAAAACAGGCTAAACGTAATAAGCGAGTTTATTTTATTAACAGCAAGTCCGTAAACATAAATAAGGAAATTAGGACAAGTTTCTCCTTCAGCGAGTCTTTTTCTTCACCAGTAGTATATATCAGAGTGCAACACGATCGATAAAAGAAGAAAGAAAAAGAGTCAGCATCAGTGACTAATAGCTGTAGATTCATATTCAGACTCATTTTTTGTTGCAAATTCTTCTTTCACATTTATTTTTTTTTGCTCGTTCTGTTAAGTAACACAGCCACATCGTCTGACTTAATTCTTATGATAAGAAAAACGAGGTATTTTTTTGACACAGCAAACCATGTTTTCTTCTATTTTCTCTCGTGAAATACAATCATTCTATCCTTTCTCATCATTTTGATGCAGCTTTTTTTCGTCGTTGTGTTATTTTCATCGTTCTCTTTTATAACTAAGTAAAAAATGCAAAAAAAGAATATATGATATAACATTCATACGAACTGATATAGTACATACTACTGGCGATCTTATTGCTTGGTGTGGCTATTTAGATTTTTGGAATCATTAGTGACATAAATCTAACCAAAATGGATTTTTCATCGTATTCATCGCTCTCAGATTTGAAAGCACAAATAAATCAAGTTAGTGTCTTACATTTTACCTCTCATATTACGGGTCAGCTTCTATTCGAACGTAGATAATGTCTGATGCGTTGATAAATGCATTTTTTCCTGCGGTATTCTCTGGATCAGAATTTTATCGGTTATGTTTTTTAAAGATAAATCTTCAAGTGTGTGAGAAAAGTTGTTTCCATAAAGTGGTCGACATCCCACAGAATTATACAAATCTATATTGGGTCGAAATTTATCATTTAAGTTTCTGAGGAACCAACGCTTACTCTTCGATTACACAAATTCTGTCCAAAGATTATGAGAGCTCGCTTTTTCGGATTAGTAACATTAGATCCATGAAATTGGATACTATATCTTCGATATTTGCTCCGTTTTCTGTCTGCTTACCGATGTATATCTTTTCACTGCCCCCTACTTTTTTCTTTTTTTTTTGGTTTCCGATTCTGCTTATCAACAGTTGCGACGTAGGACCGTAAGTTGTTAGTTTATTGTACGTGTGCACTGATGGAATCCTGCCATTTTCATGTATCGCTACTATACCGCTGTTCGGCCAAATTTTAGTTGGAAACTAGCTCCCCTTAGAATCACACAATATATGGATAGTTTTATGTAATTCATCGAGACCGGAGAACTTATACTTGTTTGAAATATATTCGAAAACGTAAATGTTACATGTAAATCGTATGATAGTTTTTAATGGTTACCCATTTTTTTCTTTTGATTGTATCAAATATGTAAATTTTTCTTCCACGTCGATATGCTATTCATTTCAGTCGACGGTGTGGCTTGTTCAAATGGAAACGGCTTGCAGAACAGTAGCAATAGTTATTTCCTTTCTACAAAATACAAGATTATTCTATTATTTCTTTCTAAAAATTAAGTTTTCATGGGTGGAAAGAATACAATTCTTGATATTTAGTGGAATGTTATAAAACTATGGTCGTTTCAAAAGAATCTTAATCTCTTTTTCTCTAACTACAATTCTGGATTATGGAAAAAGTATCTAGACTGGGTATCACATGAATAAATTCTAGGAGATAAAATATATCTCAGTGTACACTCTAAAAGAAAAATGCGACTTAGAATCAGATTAAGTTGCATTAATATGTCTTATTCTGTGAAAATAAGATATATTAATGCAACTTAATTTGATCCTAAGTCACATTTTTGTTTTAGAGTGCAGATTGAAATCTATTCTGTTATGTATTGTAGGACGTGTTCTTATGTTTACGTCGTCTACTCTTTCTCTCAGCGATTGGTTATGAGAAGAAAAATTCAGAAATGGAAGCAAACGAGCGAGATCATCGGTGGGTTTGCATAGATTCATCACTTACACGAAGCTGTGAAGCGAGAACATATGACTGTTCAGCGTACAGATAATCGAAAGGTGTCCTAAAGCCTTTCATTTCAGCCTCAGAAAAGGTCTAAAACCAAATTTTTCGGAAATCCAACGTCTTTTACGACTGAAGACCCCCTTATATTTTTCTCTGCATGAAATTATTGAAAATAAATTTTTTGCCATACTCATATTCAATGCAAATTGACATCATGAGAACATTATTTGACTAAAGTTTCATATCTTCTAAAGATGTGAAACTATACATTTTACATATTAACATATTTAAGTTCTAACAGTCCGAGATTCATGGATCCCGATGTTGTTCTTGGGTCCTACAACCTAAATATTGATCTTTCATTTCGCGATTTTATTCGACAGTATCAGTTTTATTGACCAATGTGTTATATTCAGAATTTGAGTTTAAACTACTATGGATTCCCAATGTCCTATTTAAAACGAGAGTCAAACGATCTCTTGATTTTTTCCTCGCTTAGATATTGCATTGGATTACCTACAATCTTCGTACTGATATCTGATGACTATTAATAACCTTGAAAAGAGATAGATTGTAAATAATAATAAAAAATCAAGTAAATAATATAAGAAAATATTTATTCATTGAGTTCTGGAAAAGTTCATATTTCACTTAAAACTGTTCTATATTACTTAAGAGTTTCATGATAGACTCAGTTTTAGATGGTAAACAGAGCAAAAAAAAAACTTTTCGAAACTTTCTTGGAAAAAAGCTATGATTTACAGACAACTGTGAGAGAGACTTTTTTTTCTCATACTCGTATACATGTCATGGAATTAAACTTCATGCCATTGTAGTCCATATTAACAACTTTTATCTGTAGACAGATGCCAGAATACCATCATTATGTATCCTGTGTGGAGCAGCACCATCTGTTGATAATGATATTTGTGCTAAATGTGGGACAGTTTTTGAAACAATTGTTAATCCTAAGGTATGTACTCACTAAATTATATATTATACCTTACTATTCTTTCACTTTTTTCTCATTCATGTTTAGACACAAACGAAGCATCACTCTATCGAGAATATTTCCACAAAAAGGCAAGTGTCAAACCAACTTTCGTTAACTAACAAAAGGCAACGCGATCAATCATATCAGCCTACACTCACAGTAAGATTAAAACATATACACATACTCTGAATAATACCTCCTCTCTACTGCTTAGGTTTATCCTCTAAATATATTAGATCAAGATGTAGCAGGATTCACGGATATTGAATGCATGTATTTTACAAATGTGACACAGACATATGAACACTATTGCTTGAATCCATTTGTAAGGATGCAAAAAACATTGATTTCTCAACGAACGAATAAACATGAAATTACAATACAAGATTATGTGCGTCTTCGAACGAATCATAATGAATCATCAGTTTCTTTTTTCAATCATATAGCCGAATTCCGTTGTTTGTTAAAACAAGATAAACAAGTATTACTTCAGAGAAATCAAAGATACGCAGGTGGGAGAATAAACCTTTCCCGTCGGCCAACTTTTGAGAAGAGAACGAGCTTCAGAATTTTATTAAAAATATAAAATTTTTTCTTAAAAACCTGCCGTCTAAAAATGATTCTGCGCTATGAAAAGGAGGGCCCCTTTTTTTTTTTCGTGAATGTAGTTACTATGCGTTCCAAAATACAATGGATATTTTTCGAATACCTTAGCACAGAAATGAGATAGAGACCTGCGACTTTCACTGTTGAATAGCCAACAGCTTAAGACATGTTTTTGTAAGTAGAAACTTCTTTCAAAATTTTCTGGGAGTTCGATTTTCTAAATGATCTTTGTAAAACTAGCTCCATTCTTAGAAAACTCACATACATATGTTAGTAATTTTTTTGCATCCGTAGATAGTCCGGATGTCACTCTACAAAATTCACCTTTTTTTCATCTTCGATTATGATTTATGAGCTGTCCTGAGCATTGGTTTAAGGTAACCGGTTTTTCACAAAAATGTATCTGGCGACGTTATATTCATTTCTACACAAAAACAAATGTTGCCACTATGCTCAGCGTAGTTGATTACCTATATTCCATGGCATTCTGAGATTTCAGAGATGTCTGCTCGGGGAAAGCGAGCCCCGTCCAAACAACGATAGCTGGAGAGCTGGGATTTGCATAATTTTGTAGAATAACGTCCGAACTATCTACGCATGGAAAAAAGTTAGTAACATTGTATGTGAATTTTCTGAAAACGGAGCTAGTTTTTCAAAGATCCTCTGAAAAATCGAACTTTCAGAAAATTTTGAAACAAGTTTCTACTTACAAAAACATGTCTTAAGGTCTCTCTTGGCTATTCAATAGTGGAAATCACAGGTCTCTATCTCATTTCTCTACTGAAAGGATATTTTCTTCTTCACACAAAAAAATGTTCGAGACCATTGTATTTTGGAATGCATAGTAGTTACGTTCTCATTCTTCACGATTTTATCTACGCTGATATTTTAAACTCGACTTGTTTGAACTATGAATAAGAAATGACGTACATATTCAGAAAAAGGGGGCTCAGTTGCATCGAATGATGTATTAAATAAAAAAAACTGGAATAAAAAGGCCGTATTATCGAAGTACAGCATTTTTTCAGGTCTTTTTCTTTTCAATAGAATTGCGACAAATACGATCTTTTCTTTTGTTCTCTCTTATTGCGTTAAAATAATGTTATGACGAAGAAAATACGGTTTGAGTGTAGGATATATAGTTACAAGGGAACATATTCGGATCAAAAGCTAGTAAAAATTCGATAACTCGCGAAAGGAAGAATTAAAAGACTGAAACTTTCTTGTTTATTGAGAGAGGATTAGTACCACTATAGAAAAGAAATTGCACACCTTAATTCGCTATTATTTATTGTAAAGTTGTGAATTTTTTAGTTTTGTATGATGGATGTATAGTGTAGGCAACGAAAAAGTTTTATAACTTTTGAAAGAAGCAATATGCGCAGAACTCCTTTCAGGCTATTTACTAGGACACTACCGTCTTTCTATTGGCCACAGGTCATTGAAATCGAAGGTTATCATCTGAAGATGTCCTCTCATTAGCTACTTAGAACGAAAAGAAAGATATGCATGTAACAAAAGAGATAGCTATCCTTTTATTTGCTAATTCGCTTTGTATTTTTCTCTTTCTGTCGTCTCATTCGCAGTGGTCTAGACGGTAGCAGTTAAAAAGAATGTGATTAGAGCCGTATCAAATAAGGGATATAGCTATCACTTCACTTCTTGGGGAAGTGCGAGCAAATGTCTATTCTTTTTTATGTAAGTTTATATTATAGATTTTTTCTGTTATATATATATACTCGGCAGATATTTCTCGGTTCTCTTTCGCATACGGCAGTCACAGTCATTCACTCATTCACGCTATTTGTAACATCCCTATTGTCTTCGCATTTTCATTTTTTTTCCGCTATCTATGACTTATTTTTGCGTTCGAAGGAAAAGAAATCGTTTTGCAAAAATCAGTCATAGATAGAGAAAAACAATGAAAATGAGAATCAGTCGGGTTCTTTTTTTAACTGCTATGGCTCTATTCTAAAGATATTCTATAACCTACGCGCAAAGGGTATTTTCTACTTTACAACGTTAATATAATGAAATAAGAGAGAAAAGAAAGTCGCTATTTGTCGCAGTTCGGCACGGCCATATAACTCTGCCGTCGGAGTGAAATTCCGTGACCAAATTTTACTGTGTTATTTTTGTAACTAAAGTACGTGCAGTGCTGTGGAACGTCTAGAATTGTAAAGCAAACGTTTCGCTACAAAATGGGGCATCTCGAGACTCTGTATATTTCTATGTTTAAAAACTAAAAGGTAAATACAAAACGTCCTTCTCAATCTTCGTTTTGGGAAAGTAACATTTAGTATTTACCGCAAGGGAGAAAAAGCAACACCTAGCGCTGATTAGGGTGCCGCCTTGCCAAACATACGGTATGGGATCAAATCGCACATTACACGGATTCTTTCATATACGAATAAACTTGGAGAAGGAAGTTTGACTGCATGTACATCATACTGCTAAGAAGGCTACAATACTTTATTTTTGATTCAAATGGAAGCAAAATAATAAAAAAATGTTCGTGGTCGGATTCGATTCTTTTACCCATCCGCCATCCTGAATTTTACGAAGCGAGAACGTTACTATTAAACTTAATTGGTAGTTTTGGGTGCCGAAAAGTGCTAAGAGGTGCTGAGGTATACTAAAAAAGAGTGCTCCCGGGGGGGGGGGGGGGGGGGGGGGGGGGGGGGGGGGGGGGGGGGGGGGGGGTGGGGGGGGGGGGGGGGGGGGGGGGGGGGGGGG